GAAAGAGGCTGGCGCTCGGGAGTCCCGCGGCTCTGGTCTTTTCGCTGGGTTTGGTGAGCTTCCCGGCGCTTCCGGACCGGCGATCGGAGTTGGATCGCAGTCGGAGGAGGGAAGCCCAGGTATCACCATGGCAACCGCCAGCCCGCTGGCCGCGTGACGTCACCCTTTTCGCTCCGCTCGGAGCGGCCTCTGCGGGAGGGAGCCGGGGAGTCCTGGAAGGGGGCGCCCCTCGCCGCCTCGGCGCGGGCGGTTCCGCCCCGATCCCGCGAACGGCTTTGTTCTTTTGTTCCGGTCTGGGAGGAAGGACGCGAGCTGGGCCCCGCCCCGCTCGCCTCCTTCCAGCTTTACGCCCCCGCAACAGGTGTGTGTGCCCGAATCCGAGCCCGCGGGGCGAGCCTGCAGGTGCGCTCGGAGGCAACGGGCTGGTCGCGGGCGCCTCCGGCCGGATTCTCGGGGAGCACTACGGGTTTTCTTAATCCGGGGCCGAACCTGCGTGCTCGGTGTCCACTCTGGTTTTGTTCAGCGAGAGCGCCTCTCGCCTGCTCAGTGCTCTCCCTGGCCACTTCTGGGTTCCGAGGACCTCTTGGCCACCGTGCAAAACTGAGGTTTGATTGTGACGCATGCCGCTGACCTCATCCTGTGTCTTTTAGGTCAGCCGACCTCAGTGTATGTGAAGTCTTAGACTTGTTGGACATCTGAGCTGCAGACCGAGGACCCAGCTGTAGGGACGCTTGCTGCTTTGGAAACCCTGGTGACCAGGTTCCAGAGGAACGGGATGAGCTCCTGAGATGGAAGGTAGAGGGGACGGCGAGGGCGGGGGAGAGCGGAATGATGGAGGCGAAGGAACGTGTTGACTTGAAGATCAAGTACTTGACAGAGCTGGAAGAGGTGGAACGATGAAACCTTATATTTAAGGATCAAGAAAAGAATCCGAATTATAGGGAGAGACTTGCAGGAAGAGTTAACTCTCCCGGGCTTGGGGGTTGCGGAATGTAAAGAAACGATGATTCATAGTGTCTGTGATCTTCACGTGACTTCTGTTCATTAAATATTAGAATGATAATCTTACAGTCAGAAAAAAAATCTTCGTAATCATCCCTTCAATGTAAGAATCAGATTTTTAAATCTCGCTGGGAGATGGCCGTCTGTTAAGCCTTTGAACGAGTGTGGCATTAAACTGTCCATTTTGGGAGCAGGCTGTTCCTTTTTTGACTTTCTTTTTTTAGTTCCTTATATTAGGCAGAAGTGTCTGTTCCTTTAACTTTTGCCTCGATCTCAGTTCTTAGTCCCCAAAAGCAAGAGATTGCTTTTTCTCACATTGCTGTCCTTCAGATATGAGATCAGCTGTCACAACTCCTCACAAATTCTTTTCTAAGCAAAATAGCCTCAATTCTTTGATGTGCATTCGTGTGATACATCTAGACCATTTCTCTGAAAACCATGCTTCATGACAGCATGCTCTTAAAACGTGCTGCCTAAAACTAAACACGGTTCAGTGGACGTGCTTTGAAAAAGACCTGAAAGTATGCACTACTTCTTTTGATTTGGTTTATACTTCTGTTTAGCATCAGATAGTATTTGCTTTAAAAAGTTTGTGCTATTACGCTGTAAACCCTGGCTCTTTTTTACGTAAACCGTAGTGAACTAGATTCACACCATCTTTGTGTAATAGAACTGTCTTTTATCCTTAATGTTGAGACTTCACATTTATGATTATTCCCTTTTTTAGCCAAGCGTTCCAGCTTGTCAGAATAATTAGGTATCTTAATTTAGTTATTCATTGTTTTAACTATCCTTTCCAACTTTATGTAACTGGTATATTTAATGAGTATTCCTTGTATTTCTTTCTACATGTCACTGAACAGGTCTATATATATATATACACACACACATATATAAGTCATTTGCAAACAGAGACAATTATACTTCTTCCTTTCGGAGTTGGATGCCTTTTATTTATTTTTCTTGCCTAACTTCTCTGTCTAGGACTTCCAGTGTAGTGCTGAAGAGATGGTGAGATTGGGCATCCTCCTTGTTTCTGATCATAGAGGAAGAGCTTTGAATTTTTCATCATTGAGCATATTAGCTGTGGGCTCATCATAAATGGTGTTTATTATGTTGAGATACATTCTTTCTATACCAGTTTGTTGAGATTTTTTGTAATGAAAGGATGTTGAACTTTGTCAGATGCTTTTTCTGCATCTCTTGAGATGATTATATGAACTTTATATTTCATTTTGCTAATGTGGCGCATCACATTTATTGATTTGGGTATGTCAGACCATCCTTGTATCCCAGCGATAAATCTTCCTTGATCATGATGTGTGATCCATTTAAAGTGCTGTTGAATTCATCCTGCTAATGTTTTGTTGAGAATTTTTGCATCTATGTTCATTAGGAATATTGGCCTGTAGTATCTTTCCTTGTGTTATCTGGCTGCGTATCATGGTGATGCTGGTTTCGTAAAACGAGTTTGGAGTAGTCCCTCTTCTAGTTTTTGGAAGAGCTTGAAAAGGTTGGTGGTGATTCTTATTGCAGTGTTTTGTAGAGTTCACCGGCGAGACCATCTGGCCCTGGGCTTGTCCTTGCTGGAGGGTCCTGATTACGGACTCAGTCTCCTTTACTCCTCGTTGGTCTGTTCAGATGTTGTTCTTCCTCACGATTCAGTCTTAGTAGGTTGTACGTTTTTAGGAATTTTCCATTTCTTCTAGGTTATCCAATTTGTTGATGTATGACTGTCCAGTTATAATCCATTGTATTTATATTCTTGCCAGCAGTTGCACTGACCATGTCTATTTAATTGTAGACATTTTGGTAGGTAGTATAAGTAGTATACATTATTGCGATATTTAATTTGCATAAATAGCAGTTTCAAAGACTTTTGGAAAGTAGGCTGGTTATTTATATTTTCTATGTAGCAGAGGAGGCAGCAGAAATATTTTGCCTCACTTAATGGGAACATAGATCGAGTTGTCTGTATGTGACATACAGGACTGTAAGTATCTAGAGACAAAACTGTGAATCTTAAAGTAACGCTTTACCTTCTGAGCCTTCCAAGGAGAGTATCAGGACCCTGGTCACAGTTATCCTGATTTTTTTTGGATTCTGAGAATGAAAGGAAATCGACAGTTCCTGTTACTTTCAAATAGAAAAATAAGTGGGATTTTATGGATTGCTGGGAACAGCTGAGTTGGACAGGATTCACTGTGGTTTCTTCTTCCTCCCCCAGATCTGTCCTCACCAGAATCTGCCCTTCACCACGGGGGGCACACTCTCTACCCGTCAGCCAGTTTTCAGGTAAGCTGGGGTTTCTTAAAACGCCATTTCAGTCCTTAGAGTGGGACTGTATATTCTTCTGCTGTGGGTTGTGTTTATCTAAAAATCAATGTTGGCAGTTCGTTCTGGGCGCCCATCTGCCCCGTGGCCGTCTTCCAGGCCTGCCTCTCTGGTTTACAGAGCACTCACCACTTACCTCTTGCTTACGTTCTTTTGGCATCACTTTATTCTTTATTGACGGATCTTGTGACAGCCCCACACAATTATCTGGGAGAATTATCTAGCCTGAACTAACAGTGGCGCCAAGGCGAAGAAGTTGGCGTACATACTTATTTTCATTTAATGTCGTTTTTCTTCCGCATGAAGGACTTCCTTAAAGTTTTTTATAGTGCGTTCTGCTGGTGGTGAATTCATTCAAGTTTTTATGTCTGAAAAAGTATTATGCCTTTGTTTTTCGTTTCTAGTTTGACAGTTTTTCTCTTTAGTATTCTGTAATGTTTCTCCATTGTCTCCTTGCTTGCAGGGTTTCCAACAACAAAAAAATCTGTTATTTTTATCTTTGTTCCTTTAGATTTGTCTTTTTTCCCTCTGGATACTTGTAAGGTTTTCTCTGTCACTGGATTCGAGCTACAGTATTTGATTAAGAGGAGCCTTGGTGTAGTTTTCTTTGTGTTTCTTGTGCTTACAGGTTGAGTTTCTGAGATCTGTAGGTTTATAATTTTCATCAAATTTAGAAAATACTGAGCTATTTTTTCTTCAAATATTTTCCTCTGCTCCTTTTTTTTTGGTCCAGGGACTCCAATTACACATATTTTGAGCCATTTGAAGTCCCACAGCTCCCTGATGCTATCTCTTGAAAAAAATTTTTTTCTTATCAGTTTTATTTTTGATAGTTTCTATTACCGTGTCTGGGAATTTATTAATCTTTTCTTCTTCAAGCTTAATATTCTGTTGGTATTATCTACAATATCAATTATCTACAATTATCTTTCTTTGTGTTCTACCCAATGCCTGATGCATGAGGAAGTTTTCCAGTTTTGCTAATGGGAACAGACTCTCTTTCCACGCTTTTGGAGCTCCAGTGCTGTTCCCTCCACCAATCCTGAGTCAGGCTCTGTTTTTATATTCATTTCACGAAGGGGGAAATGTCAGAATCATTTTTCAGATGCCCATAGTTCGCCTTACTCCGTCGCTGTTGCTGACTCCATCCCCTTCCTAGGTAAATGCTTCTGGCCACGCAGAAGTGTGTTTGGTATTGCAGGAGTCAGTGACCTTCAAGGATGTGACCGTGGACTTCACCCAGGAAGAATGGAAACAGCTGGATCCTGTACAGAGAGATCTATTCAGGGACGTAACACTGGAAAATTACACACACCTGGTGTCCATAGGTAAGGATGACTTCTGCGAGTCAGAAGCTGGGCTACAGAGGAGGAGGAAGAGGGTTCTCTAGTGCTTAGACTGGTTTTGCCTTTACGTGAGGGACCAGAGAGACCTTGATTTGAAAGGCTTTGAAAAGGTTTCTCTCGTAGCAAGAGGAAGGACGAACTAATAATTTTTCTGAATGCAAACCAGTTCCCCAGTTACACCACGTCTGGAATTTGTGACCTCAGAGCTGGGTCTGCTGTTCATTCCCATCGGATCGCTCCCTCACTGCCTTCCCTCGAAAGCGAGGCTGTGAGACTGGATTCTGACGAGGCACTTTTCCCTGACGGCAGACAGTGCCTCTTTCTTTCTTTCTCCCATGAGCAGGACTCCAGGTGTCCAAACCCGATGTCATTTCCCAGCTGGAGCAAGGGACAGAGCCGTGGATCGTGGAGCCAGGCATGCCAGTGGGTGGCTTTGGAGGTGAGTAATGGGTCCCTACAGGTGAGTGTCGTTCACTCGGACAGCGGCCTGAGAAGAGGAATTTGTGTGTGAAATGTAGATGCACTTGCTTCCTGCCAGATGTGGGAAGGCTTCTGGGCTCCCTCGTGCTTTGCCAGAACACTGTCTTGACACGCATCTGGTTTGATACTCCTTCCACCTTTCTGTGAAGGCAGCGTCTTGGCCTGGACTCTGGATTCCGTCTTTCCCACCCCGTCCGGGACTCTGAGCTCACGAACATCACCTCACTTTTCCACCTGTAGAGTTCTCTTTCCGGGTCTACAGGCTCTACCACTTGTACCTCAAACAGAAGTAGGGAACCTGAATTTCCAAGTACTTTTACTCAGCACCATTAATCTATGTGGCCGCCATCCAGCGCGCTCCGTTGCTTTCCCAACCACGCTCTGCAAAAGTCCCTTCCTTGCCTTTCTTCATCTCAGTGTGCGGCTTCGGAGCCTTTTACTCTATAAGGCTATCCTTGGAATTATAAATTAACTTGTAACCCATTAATTCCCAAACTGCACAGAGAGACCTCTTCATAGACCAGACCCTGGAAAAATATGCAAACTCAGGTCACTCTAGATGAAACTGAGTGAATGAGATATGGGATGGGGGTTCTTTTGTGTGGGGGAGAGAAGCACGCCACGTTCAAATTTGGGAAGTGCTAGATTAGCTAAAATTTTAGCAAGTTTCTTCCTGGGGGACCACTCGAGACATTTTTTTAACAAGCAGTTGAGCGTTAGGAATTTCCAACAAGGTTGCACAGAGTATGACACGCTTTCTCCCCCAGCCATGAGTCTGTTTCTTTCATGCTGCACCTTTAAAATCTTTCTCATAGAATATGATTTCATGAAACGTGGTTTAGAAAATTAATATTTTTTAACAAGAGTTTTATTAACTTGTGCTTACAGATGATTAACTTTCAAAAACAAGTTGTTTTATCACAAATTAAAAACTAAGTTTTAAAAAATCCCAACGAGCAGCTAGAAAATCATTTAAAAATGTTTAAATAGATATTGAAAAAAACTCCTAGGCTTTAAAAAAAATGCTTCACTCATCAGTCAAAAGAGGTTTGTAGGTAAAAGTAACAAAACACCCACGCTGCAGAGGTAACGCGGACGGTGCCAGCGACCCGGCCAGTGGGCAGAAGGCAGTCGGTGGAAGCCTCGAGCTCCCTGCTCATGTTTACCTTCTGTCGCTGGAATGAGACCCAGCCAGGACGGTCTTGGCGAGCTCGCCCGCGGCCCTGTCCTCTTCGGCCTGTGGAGCCGACTCGTTCCTCTCTGGTGACTGGTCTGCGTTCGTCGCTGGAAACGTGGTTTACAGTTCCGTAGGCATCGGTGCAGGGGCTGAGCTGCGGCAGGCAGCCCCGCCACGGGCCCTCCGCCCCTCCGCATCGTTTCCTCACCCTCTTTCTTGCCGTCTTTTCGAGGCTGCCTTGTGACCTGGCCCCCGCAGAGTCGTGACCGCATGGCGGTGCGGACTGCCTCACTGGTCCAGGTGCCCCTTTGCCACCTGGTTGTCAGCACCCTCGATTAACCGTCCTTGCACAGGGTGCTCGGTGCTCAGTGCCCACAGACTCTGCATGCAGTAAAGTGGGCCTCGTTCTCGGCACTTCCTCCTCTGATGCTGTCCGTCTGGCCTTCTGGAACTTTCTCCAGTCCTTTGTTCTTCGCCTGCCCGTGGCGTCCTGGTGACTTTGTTGCTAGCTGCGTGGAAGACACGACCACGTGGGTAACGTAGGTCACGGTCTGCTGCATACTTGTTGCTTTTGGCTGGAATTCCCGCCAGTGCTGGGACCAGCTTCAGCCACGGCCTTTTACCCTTTATCCGCATCGGACGCCGTGGTCTCCAGTCCCCCACTGAGGAGTACGTGGACGGGGCGAGCTCCATGGCCACCTGCTGTGCAAATACTGAACACTTGGTGGTCCCCAAACCTGTGTTGCTTTCATCTTGTCGCTGCCAGGGAGGCGCTGCTGTCACGAGGCCGCCCACGCTCACGGCCGCTGCACCTTCCCCAGATGCCAGGTGCACCGGCGTCTCCGCTGGCCGCTTATGCGTGCGATGATGGTGATGCTGACGGTGACGGTGACGGTGACGGCGGCTGGGCTGGCAGCACGGGAGACTCGAGGTTCTCTGGGCTGTGCTGTAACCCTGCTGCCATGGAACGGAGGG